TATTGATCATTTAACAATAAGTAACCAATTTTCGATATCAGATAGTTTTTGGTTTGCTATTGGGACGCTTATGCAGCAGGGGTCAGATATATATCCGAGGGCTACCTCTACTCGAATTATAAGTAGTACTTGGGGATTTTTTTCCCTTATTATTGTTGCATCATATACTGCTAACTTGGCAGCATTTTTAACTGTGGAACGTATGATTAACCCTATCGAAAATGCTGACGATTTGGCTAGCCAGACAGAAATTTCCTACGGGACTTTAGAAAGTGGATCCACAATGACTTTTTTTCGGGTAAGTGTACGTTGAGCACATTTCAAATTTATACATATATAAAATTTATATAATAATAATTTGAATATGTTTCTATAAGCAGAGATTATGTATCTAGTATTATCTACACACTGTCCCACTAAAGTTGCAGTACCACTCATACAGTTTAATGAAACATGATGCACCTTCCTAAAATTTTTATAAAACAAGTTAGAAAGCCCTAGTTGAGACTGCTCGAGGCTTTTGGAGATTTTCAATCGACTACCAAATCACGAGAATTTTTTATATTCTGAAACAAACTCGTCACCTCTTTGAAGAATATATACACTTTATGAGGTCTGCCACGCATCCTTCTGACTGTTATATACATACATACATACATATATTCAACAAAATTATTATCTTCCATTGAGAATAGGCTCAGAATATAAATAAAAATCTTTAATGACGGTTAATAAAATAATAAACAATTTTTTTATACTCATTCACGAAACTAAATATATTGGTTTTGTGCATGCCCGTCCGTCCGTCTTTCCGTATGAACAAATATTTTTAGGTGAAAACTAACGACTACAAATTTGGAATACATACTGGTGTATATCTCCTATTTATAAGGTGTTAAATCAAAAAAGTTGTAGTGCTCGAATGCTGAAACTTGTACCTTTCAAGTTCGTGTTGTTGTTCGTTTATCAAAAAGTTGGTGTTAAGGTGGTGCGCTAACCTGATGACGCGTAGTGTATGTACGAGCTATATGTATACTAGAACGGTTATTAATAGATAAACTCAGGCCCTAATTTCTCCTCAACGGAGCCCTAGGCAACCGGAGAATTTGGAGAATCGAAATTCTAACATTCATATGAATTTGCATTTAAAACATTGAGATCCTAACATATATATATATACATATATATATATTTATAACTAATTTTCGATACAGAATTGAATCGATATTAATCATAGGAGCTTACCTATGTTTATTTTAAGTATTCGAAGCTTTAGAATATTAACAACTAGAATTTTAGGACTCCATGATTGAAACTTATAAAAAGATGTGGAGAGTTATGGATAATAAGAAACCTATGGCATTTACATCTACTTACGAGGACGGAATAAGGCGTGTGAACCAGGGTAACTACGCCTTCTTAATGGAATCTACAATGCTTGACTATATTGTTCAACGAGACTGCAATTTAACGCAGATCGGTGGCTTATTAGACACAAAAGGTATAGTTTTATATATTATATTTGTAAAAAAAAAGAAACAAAAACAAGTAGCATTCTGGCGTATCGGATTGCATGATTCTCATACATTATCCGCAAACAGTTTAATTTTAATTTGGAATGAGGAACAGTATAGTAATTTTTAGCCAAGTCTCAAACACTCTTTTAAAACAATTAAGAAGACTCTAGTCGAGACTGCTCGACTAGGAGATACCCTGAGCCCTCCAAGC